GGTTCGTTTTACCATCAGTGGACTTCCAGCGACTGGATCCGGTGCAGCACCCAGACACATCTCATGGCATTGGCAATAAGGCAGGTCACCTCTGAGCAGCCTCCATGGCCACATAAGAGCCTCTGTGGGAGGCAGTCAGTGTCAGTGATGTCCCTGAGCTGGGTCTGCCTCCCAGCCTGACCAGCATGTCCCTGGCAGAGTCCCCCTGTGACCCCAGGCCCCACAGCCCACTTGCTCTGCAGAGCAGCTCCACCAGCTCAAGGGCTGTGGAGAGCATGGGCAGGGAGTGTAGGAATGGCTGGCCAGGCCAGCACAGATGTGCCCACCTTGTCAAAAGGCTCTTTAGAGATATGGGATGTCCTGGTGTTTTTTCAAAAGTGGGATTGTTTACCCGGTGTGCAATACACCAATACACACACAGAGCAGAGGTATTTTATTTATTTCATGTCTGCACAGAGATGGTTGCAGGGTGGTAATGCCACAAAGCTAGCTAGCACACTGCACACAAAAACTACAACATATTTATCTTGTTACAGGATTAGAAAAACCCACTTAAATTTATGCAAATTGGTTATAATTGGTTATAATTGCAACATCATCTCCTATTGAGGGGGTGTGTAGGGGTTAACTTGCATTGTTCTTTAACTGGGTTAGTGGTCCCATTTGTCCCAGTTACTGCATTTTTGCTGACTTTAGGCTTTTCTGGGAGTCAACCGGCTCTCTGGGTCTTCTGGGGCAGGATGTTTCCCTTTTATCAGTCTTTCAGCTCCTCTTCAAGGATAGTCCTTAGCAAGGCATGCATTTATCAACCTTTCCCTCTTCTTCAAGGGTACAGTCATTAGCAAAGCAATGCAGTGTATTTAACCCTGAATTAGACAGTGTCTAAGCATTAACCCAAACACATTCCTCACCCTGTAAAGTGGAAAATTCTACTTTACAGATATCAATACTGTCACTGTCTACAGCTGTCTTATGGGCTGGTGCAGAGGAGAATGAGTCAGACTCTTCCCATGTGGGCACAGTGGAAGGATGAGAAGCCATGGGAAAAAGTTGGGATGTGGGAAATTCTGACTAGACTTAAGAGAAGAGAAGCTGCACTCTAAGGTCTATCAGGCACCAGGAACAGGCACTCCAAAAGGCTGTGGTATCTCCACAAATGGAGATATTCAAGCCTCAACCAGATGTAGTGCAATGCGCGGGGGGGGGGGGGG